CTCAACGTCTGTCTCTTCAAGCCTAGGCAATAGTAAATCTACACCATACTGTTAATCAAATGTAGGAAGAACTTACTTTCATTTCTTTGTGAAACAATTTTCTTTTTCTCATCTTCATGCTTTTTCAATTTTTTGGTAGGTTTAACGTCAAAGGCAACAGCAGGTCGAATAACATTTACTGTTGCTTTTTCCTGTTTCCTTTTCTTTTCATGTGCAAAAGGTCTTGCTGATGTTAGCTTATCTYCTTTTGTTTTGGTTTCTTTGCAGCTTACAACTTCATTCTTCTCCTTCAACATGTTTTCATCACATTCAATGATTTGAACTTGRTGTTTTTCTTCTCCAGCTGTGGTGTTTCTATAACTACTTTCTGTTTTCTGAATATTTTGTGGATTCACTTCATTAACAAGAAAGCCTTCAAAACTTGCAGGTTGCCTGTTTTGRGCTTTTGCTGGGTACACTCCGTTCGCTTCTCTCACATTTTTTGGTCTTTGAGCTTGTTTATGCTCTCTTCTAAACTGCTTATTATCTACAGGTTTTTGCAGTGGCTCTTCATTTGCATCAGGATCATTTTCAGATTTTACATTTTTAATGAATTGTGACTCAACTTGCTTGTCATTGATGCCATGTTTTGACTCTACATGCTTGATCTTTTCTAAAGACACACTTTTGTCTGATCTCAATATCTCAACAGCTTGTTCATCACTCTTTGAAGTATCTACAGCTTGATGGCAGCTTGGAGATGTTTTTGCAGGTACCTTTGCAACAAAAAAAGTCTCTCTCCTTTCCTCTGATTGTGGTGTACCAGWRACAACATAGGTCTCTCTTCTTTCATCCTCTTGTGAGATTTCTTTCACATCTGGAATAGTTTTGCCAAATTCATGTTGCTGTGCTTGGGAGCTGACAGGATCTTTGGTTAAAACTGTGGACCGAGGCTTAAATGTTTTCTTTGTCTTTGGGGTGTTGAGGGTTTGACTGTTACAGAGCACTGACCTTCTTTTCTGAAAATTCAAATGAAATTTTAGTTAAAATAATATAATAATTTTCATGACGAAGGTGAGAAATAKCCATCTGTTTCATTAGTCGATAYGTTTAATCAAGAAATGTCTGTTTGGATTGCTAGCTACTATASATGTAGTAATTTATTCACGTTGATTTTAAAATCCAACGGTACAACAAGGAAGATGGATTTCCCTTTGACGACCTGTATAAGTTCGAAAAAAAAAAACAAATTGCCTTGCCATATGAGATTATATGCGATGCAACGTAGCTATTAAAAAGCTTTAATTTTTAGCACAAATTTCCATGTACCTTTTTAGTGTTGATGTCGACGGCTGAGCCCATTACAATAGCCTGGAGTCKATGGGTCTCGTTCCATTTGAACACAATCAATTCCCGACAACGACCTGCYTCAATCGGCTCCCATTTGATCGGTAAAATAACCTCCTCGTCTGCCTCTAGTGTCAATAGAGAGCTGCTATCATCGTCTGAGCAATTAATAGCAAAACCACGTTTGACTGGGCTTTTTTCAACTCGAAGAGTTTGGGAGACAGGGTGAGGGTTCCATACGACAAGCTCTTCAACTTTAGACGAGCCCAGCTTCACACTTCCAAACAAAATTCTTGGTGTCTTTTCAAAATGATTAAGCTTCAATATTGGAAGACTGTCGTCCGGGGAGAGAGGAACTTTAGGTCGTGGCGAGTTAGTACATGGACTGTACCACTGTGCACGTTTTGTCTTCACTGAACATGGCAAAGACGATTTCAGAGTTTCTGACACATGGGACAAATTCGGCATGATGTTTTCCTTGTGTAGAGACGACAACAGACTGGATTCATCCATTGCTAGACTTTTGACTTTCTCTATTTCAGCATTTGATAAAAAGTTTGAATAAAAACTAAAAGCGAATTTAAAAACACGACGAGAACATCGACGACTCAAGTCGATGAGACGTTCTTTTTGGTGTAAAATTTGAAAATCGATCGAATTTGATTCAAACCAATCAGAGACCACTAAGGATTTGAACTGACCAATCATAGGTGATTTTCAAGGRTAACAAAGGAAACCCAATCATAAATATGCCAAAAGCACAGGGAACCCACAACAAGAAACGAGTCATTGCCGGATTTCAAACCGAGTGGGGACTGGGCAAAATCCCCTAATAGCCGACTTTAGATATTTTGGTTCAGTGACCATGCACAAAAGAATTGCAGACGAGGCTCCGGGGAAATAAAGAATAAAACGATCTTATACGCTCTTTGATTGGTCATTTTGAAGCGTGCACTTCAAAATAACTATTTGCAATATTAAAAAAAATAAAATTATCAATGGATAATCTTGATTTATTCTTTATTTCCCCRGAGCCTCGTCTGCAATTCTTTTGTGCATGGTCACTGAACCAGGATATCTAAAGTCGGCTATTGGATGATCACGAGATAAGACTTACATAGAATGAAAGCCCTTGTTGAGAAATGCAAAATTCCAAAATCCGGATGTCAATCAGTCCAATAGTGAACAAGTTACGGCCTTTCAAATATTCTAAAATTTGCAAAGAAATGTATGGGAAGCGGTGAATGTGTCCGAATTTTAAACATTTTCCGGACACATTCACAGCTTTCCATACATTTCTTTGGAAATGTTAGAATATTTGAAAGGCTGTAACTCGCTCACTATTGGAGTGATTTACATCAAATTTTGAAATTTTAAATTTCTCAACAAGGGCTTTCTTTCTATGTAAGTCTTATGTCATGATTACCCGATTAGGGGATTTTGCCCAGTCCCACACGGTTTGAAATCCGGCAATGCTCCATGAAAAGTTTGGATCAGCAAACTYTTCTATGTGACCCTATTCAAATACATCTGATGAAAGCTATTGCATTTCAAATTCATTTTATATGAAGGGTAGTGGATAGTCACTACAAGTCCCATCAGGTGTACTCCCCTATATTTGCTATACGGATGCATGTGTGTTGCTCAATAGGGTCCCTTTTTCGGAGCTCCAAGTCTGGGATACGGTATCATTTTTTGCCCATTTGTCTGGGATAGAGTTGTCTTTTTGTCTAGGATAGGTTAAAGTCTCATTGTCTGGGGTAGGGTGGAGTTTTGCCTGTTGTGATCATATCTGCTAGGCAACGCTTTCAGCACTAAAATAAATTGTTACTTTGTACCTTTAGTCTGCGGTAGGGTATGCAAAATCACAAAAATTGATCTGGGATAGGGTAAGGGTTTTGAGGGTTATGCGGCACACCCCCACCCAAGTTTGGATCAAGTACCCCCCAGGCTATAAGCCCATACAAAACTCAGCCCTAATTTGTATAAAAACCCAATGAACCAGATGTTTAGAATGAATTTAATTCATTTCAAGTTTTAAGAATATAAACATTTTGAACATGTTTATCAGCTTTAAATTATATTAAAAGGCACATTGCTTACAACATCGAATGAAAATAATTTAGAATGAGCAGAGGGATTTTTAAATACTTTTATCATCTCCTTCAGCTTGTGCAGTTGGACTTATGTCTTAAAAATAACTTATGTCTTAAAAATAACTCCTAAAAATACATTACAATAGAGACTGCATGCAGTTTGGTGAGGCATGAAAAATGTTCATAAGACTCAATTAGATATTTACTACTAATAATTGAGGTACAATACAACCGTCATTTAGCAAGAGCATGTAAACTTCTGATTGTTAGTTGTTTTAGTGTATTATAGTGACCAGGATATTGCCACTGCATTACCTGTATACATTCATGCATACAATTATCACAAGCTCACTGACACACTAGTCAAAATGCATCTTGTCCTTTTTCTTCCTTTACTGGTGAATTTTTCATSTACCTTAGTTGATTTGCAGAAAAGAATCAAACTATTATTTAAGTGCTTCAAAATTAGCAAAGGAAGAATGAACTCATGTAGTGTCAATCAAAAACTCATAAAATGACATAAAAAATTCTCCTTAATGACAAATATCACTGATCAGTTTCAGAGAGGATTTAATGAGATAGCAGGGCTTGAACCAAAAGAGTTCCCAAGAACATCAGGCTTCAGCAAACCTAAAATGAGATGGTGCTTCAWTGTAGTGACAGCCGTAGCAAGTTTTGAGTAATCTGATTTAACATTGTACACATTAGCTGAAATACGGCACCACAATGACGACTGAATGCAGGTTATAGCAACTACAACATTGTGCTCCTTTAAAAGGTACTTTCGAATGGAATTTTCAGCTATTCTACTAGAGCCATAGGCAGTCTGGAGCTCAGCAGGAAGTCGAATACATGCCATGAATGGTGCTCTCATTGAATCTGGTACRTTGAGAGCTTCTGTTTTCCACTCTGCTGCAAGCATGGCTGATGCCCAAGATATGAGAGGTCTGCAGTGTGAAGTGATAGCTTCCTAATAAGATTGGTTTRGAATTAGCTTTGATTGTAAGGAAGAATTGCTAAAAATTCACCACATTTTATAAAAAAGGTCATTACTGGCAGCAAGGTCCATATGACACCAAACAACGTTGAAATGTTTTCCGTAAATATGAATTTAAAAGCCATAAGATTTCATCGAAAGACACTTGAAAGTGATATTATGTTATTAGAGTAGATTGATATACCTTTCATATCTTTCTTTAAGGCGTTTTATTTTCTGTGCAAAATGACTTTCCATAGATATAAGAATTGTGCAAACGATTCGAAACTTCGGGCGAAACGACTTGTGCGAACGGTCTTTTGTGCGAAATAACCTGATACCCAAACATCCAATCTAAACTATTGTTGTTGCAGTTTGCAATCGAAATTCTGCAGTAGGTATCAATAAGATGAAYCATGAGACAATGGGTAAATTATCCTTTAACTTATTAGATAACTGTCTCTCTTTCTTATCTATAAGATCATTTCCTTACCAGTCCTCCAAGTTCCTCATAAAACTTCAAAGCAGAATCAGCAACCAAGTATGACGTGTAGTCCATGGTGGCTTGCTGGAAGAACTTTTCCTGGAAAGTACCATCTTGATTCCAAGACACAACAAGAGGGTTAATACTGTCTTGGTATTTAGGATGAACCCACAGTATAGCTGCTCCTCTTGGAAAGTACAACCATTTGTGGAGGTTACCTTCAAGGCAATCAAAACTCTGTATCAATAGATCAACAAACTATTACTTTATCATAATTAACATCAAAAGGGATTTTACTAGAAGCCAGMAATCAGTGAAATCCAACCTTTGGGCTGATTACTTCAACGTAACCGTAACATTGTGACACTTGTGGCCCCTTTTGGATTCATTTATATTTCCAAAACAACCACCTACTATTAAAATTAAYGAGACCCTTACAWTAGCAAGTGAGCTGCACTTTGTAAAAAGAATYGCTASCCATGACTGACTTTATCTCTATTATTATCAGTGTAAGTGGGGATATACCCATGGATAACCTTACCAACAAAGAAGTCAGCGTCCAGGCTGTCCAGGTCCAGCTGTACTTGACCAGGTGCATGTGCTCCATCWATCAACACAGCAACATCATGCTGTCGRCAGACCTGAATAATCTTCTTGACTGGCAATTTAAGTGCACTATTACTAGTAATGTAATCAACGATAGCTAGTCTTATATTAGGGTTATTCTCCAGTACGCTCCTGTACTGGTCAACAATGTCACCTACATAGAACTCTGCTGACCCATCCAAGTCTGACAATGGGAATGTCATATTCAGTACCACAAGATTACATTTCTTGGCAGTGCAAACTTCTTGCGCTGTTTTGTGTATAGCACCATATGTTTGATTAGTGACCAATATAGACTGTCCTTCTGGTAACTCAAAYGATCTCAATACTGCATTAATGCCTGTTGTTGCATTTGGAACAAACACAAGGTTTTTATGGTGGCTGTTGACAAACTTTGCAATCATTGAAATAGAGCTGATCCACAATGTTTCAAGTTTGTAGAAGAAGAAGTCATCAGGGCAGCATTCCATCTCATCCTAAGAATTGATAAAAAATAACAATAATGTACCAGTACTGTACAAAAGAGACTAATCCTAAGTCAATCACTGTTTGAGTGACAAAYCAAAAAAAGGCATGACTAATGGAATCAAGTTTATGTACAAAATGTTTTTTTTTAAAGCAAACAAATAGGGAGAGCTAGTGATTGTTGGTGAAAATAAAACAACAAACAAACCTTAAGTTGCTTTTGAGCATTTTGAACAGATTTTGGTACAGTGCCATAGGAGCCATGATTGACACATGTCATACTTCGATACAAACTAAAGTCAGTGCTGAGTATCTTGGCACCAAAGAGAGATTGTTTGTAGCCAGGYCCAAACATAAAGGTCATAATAGATGTGGTTAACTTGATAATAGCGACCCACCATACCAACAAAACAAACATTATTATCTGAGCCACACTGAAAATAATAAGAAATATGGACAAGAGACTATATTAAACTGTTGCCTCAAGTCTAGTAACATTCCTCCGTATATCAAGCATAAACAGATCGTCGCTAATTATAAATAAATCAWGTCTAGAGCATACCTTGTAATAAGACATCCTACTTTTGAAGAAGACATATCTGGCCCACTAAATCACTGGCTGACTCTTGGCTGCAGGTTATTAAAAACCGTCAAAGGTTTCTGTTCTTATAGAAGCGTCCAAACAYAACATTCAATTATGCCGACTTGGTGACAAAACTAATCCTTGCCTTGCAAATTGAGACAATAGGTGTATTTGCCATGGTTCAGGACTAGTAGACTATGTACCGTCACCACCTGACTTTTTTATTTTTTCATGAAGATCTTACGAGCCTTCGGTTATAGAAGGACAGCGGAGATAAAAGCTACAGGGAGCCCAACCAGGGTTTTTTTGATATAACTACTTCACTAGCTGACTTGCATGGAAATGTGATTAGTGATTGATCTCAACATTGAAAAACCAGGAACAATATGATATAATAGTTTAAGTGTGATACCAACTACTAGTCTGGTTTGACGTGAAATCAAAACGACTATCTTCTTAGTCTTTAATGAACAGTGTAACGTATCGATTCGCAACCCACGTTTTTTAAACGATCGGTGCGCTTTAAAAKTYTTTTTTWTACTTGAAGTCAATATTCAGTTTTGTGGCATTATTTTCTATTTGACTATCACATTTAGATAGGCCATAGTCAGATGTTTATTTTTCACAGATTTAATAACTTCAATCTAGTGACATGTTATAATTCCCGGTATATCAAGAAGAAGACAACGGTAGTACCTCGTGTGGTGAATATTTGTAGTTAGCGCCCGATGTGCATCATGATGGTTGCAGACAATTTTTGACGGCGAAAACAGATAAATTCTAAGCAATGCATTATGGGTGGATAACATCAAGATCAGCTCTGGCCTTCCCGTACGTTTGTGTGCGGAAAACATGTCATGTCTCCTTATTATATGAATTAGGATCACTRCCTTGCTTCGCGCACTCCAGGCGCGCTACGCTGCGGCGCGCAGCAATAAACTCTACAGGCGATGTGAACACTCTGAATATTTCCAGCAATGTGACAGTTGGGAAAATTGCAGATAGGAGCCATGCCCGTGGGGGTACTACCTCCCCATCTTGGGTGGGAGTGTGCTGCACGACTCTAAAAACCCTTACCCTATCCCAGACCAATTTTTTTTCATTTTATATACCCTACCCAAGACTAAAGGTACAAATGTACATTATTTTAGCGCTGAAAGCGTGGCCTAGCAGATACGATCACAGGCGAAACTCTACCCTACCCCAGACTATGAGACTATACCCTATCCCAGACAAAAAGACTACCCTATCCCACTGGAAAAAAATTGCAAATCAAGCGCGCTTCCTTTTCCCGCCTTAAAGCTAGTAGCCAATCAGAATCGCGATGACACGGACTGAAGTACGGAAGGACAACTGGGCATCTTGTGTCGGTTGATCAAAAATCATCYCGATTCTTTAGGTATGGTGCTCTGCTCATATTTACAGAATTTTGGACATTTACACCATATTTACATATCAAATTTACCACCTTTGAAGCGCGCGAATTTTTTCAGTGTCCCAGACAAAACTACTACCCTAACCCAGACAAATGGGCAAAAATGATACCCTATCCCAGACTTGGAGCTCCGAAAAAGGGACCCTATCATGCGGARCATACCCGTATAGCGAGTATAGGGGACTTACTAAATACAACTAAATAGTACTATTTAGTTTGTACAGTTGCACGGATTAAGTGCGATCACTCTAGGGGGTAATAGTATTTACTAGTACAATTCCTATTTCACAGACGGACTGAAAGGAAATTTGTGAAGGACGCGCATCAAGATTTGAACCAGCACTATGCATTGCCTAACCCTAAACCTAACCATTAGAGTACTCATTTTCATCGATGAAAAATTCTCAAAAATTCATCAAAATTTTCTAAGTTCTTCTATAGGAGAGCCTTCTATGTGCACATCAGCGCCGTAAATGCATCAACCCTGGACTACATGTTTTTCTGTACGTAAACTGAAAAGTATTTCTCGGGTGTTTATTTCCAATGCGTCCTTTATTCATAAATGCTTCATACATGCGATATATCACCTGTACAATTCGTTTTAGTAATGAACATTTTAGATGAAGTAATGCGGTTATCGCAATCCTGAAAATAAAACGCAAGACATTATTGTTAGCTGCATGGACTACGAGCAGTTCACGGGCCTGTTCACCAAATATCATCAAGAATTTTTTTTTYAGACTTTTTCGCTTTATTCTATGAATAGACGATAGTTCTATTTATAGATAGTGCATTGCATGCTGCTCATTAGAGTGAGAATTGCTAAAGAAATGTGCGACTCATTGTGCATCGGATTGCATACTGAACTACATTGCCGGATGCCTCGTGCGTTGGAATTGATAGTCTCCTTCGCAGCCTCTCCTTTTGTCGGGCTTCCTGTCCCTCCGTTCTTTTGGTAGGGACAGGAAGCCTACCAAAAGGGGAGGTTGAGAAGGAGACTATGGAATTGTCAACAATTTAAAAAATCGGAAAATAAACAGTTTACTATGTAACATGTGTCATTTCTGGGTTCTTATTGGTCGGGGCAATATCACGTAAAAGAGAAGAAACAATTAAAGTATGAAGTGTTGCAAGTTATTCACCTACTTTTTTACGGTTAAATTAATCTTTTTAGACAATTAATGTTTGGAAATAGGGATGATGTTTACCTTTATCAGTGCTGCAGCAATAAAAAATTGCTCCGTTAAGAGCAGTATCGTCGCCACTCCCTTGTTTGCATTCGACTTGAGTTTTCACTCCACAAATAGCTGACTTTGGAGGGCAGTCCTCTTGCTGAGTAAATGAGCCTCGATCAGGAGCATTCACATCGGTGAGTGACGTAGCTAGCGAATTTGGTTGTTCACAAGCAAATCGGAAATTATTCACTATACAAAATAATAGAGCATGTTACATTCATGTAAGCTTTWTTTATGATTACCAGTCAGTTCATTATCTTACCATATTTTACCCTGCTGGTAATTATGTATTCTCACTAGGGGTGGAGTGAAATAATCTCATGATTGGTTGATAAGAAGAACGGACAAACAATAGATACTATTCTAAACAATAAAACACTAACAACAGAAGAATTAASAGCCAATACTGAGGGAGCAGTCAAAAAGCAGGTTGGCGATGGATTTGGAAACGATAACTTATTGATTATAAATAAAATGAAGAGCATTTTTAAGAGATTTTTATTCTCAAGTTTCCTTTAGTTTTCCGCTAGTTATCGCAAAAGTGCTGCGAAACAACTGAGTTGCTGTTATATGTGGTGTTGCGAGGATTGACGGAGTCGTACTTATAGAGAACGCGTTTCAATAATGATTAATTGAAAGGAAAAAGTCATGATACGGTGTTGAGTGCATTGTCAACAACAGCAGCATATCAGCTGCAACAAAATTGGCTTTTATTTCATGCGCGACTCTTTTTTGTTACCAGAATGCTTTGCCCAGTAAAACTATAAATACACGCAAAGGATTGTGGTCTTGTAGTATCAAAATGATGCAATCCTTCCAATCAAGGACTTATTGTACAATGTGGCACCCTTTTCAGTTCCTTCAGTTTTGCTTACCAGAGGTGTCATCTCCGCTACCCAGCGGGGGCTGCGACTTCATCGCAACTCCAGTTAGATAGGATGTTCCTGGGCAGTAAGAAGAATCTCCCCATGCTCCCCATGGACCAACAGCGGAATGGATTCCGGTTCGTCCTGGAATTCCGTCGTAACTTCTAAAA